CATGGTGTAAATTGATACAGTGTAGGATACCATGGTGTAAGTTAATACAGTGTAGGATATCATGGGTGTAAGTTGATACAGGTGTAGGATATCATGGTGTAAGTTGATACAGTGTAGGATACCATGGTGTAAGTCAATATAGTATTAGTTTACCATGGTGTAAGTTGATACAGTGTAGGATACCATGGTGTAAGTTGATACAGTGTAGGATACCATGGTGTAAGTTAATACAGTGTAGGATACCATGGTGTAAGTTAATACAGTGTAGGATACCATGGTGTAAGTCAATACAGTGTAGGATATCATGGTGTAAATTGATACAGTGTAGGATACCATGGTGTAAGTTAATACAGTGTAGGATATCATGGTGTATTAAAGTTGATACAGTGTAGGATATCATGGTGTAAGTTGATACAGTGTAGGATACCATGGTGTAAGTCAATATAGTATTAGTTTACCATGGTGTAAGTTGATACAGTGTAGGATACCATGGTGTAAGTCAATACAGTATAGGATACCATGGTGTAAGTTGATACAGTGTAGGATACCATGGTGTAAGTTGATACAGTGTAGGATACCATGGTGTAAGTTGATACAGTGTAGGATACCATGGTGTAAGTTAATACAGTATAGGATACCATGGTGTAAGTTAATACAGTGTACGATACCATGGTGCTAGTCAATACAGAATGTGTTTTTTTTTGCTTGATTATCATAATAAATTGTCCTGTTAAAACATGCCTGAATTATTGACTGCCATGGATATCTGACAAAGCTGTATTTTTGTCCAAAGAACTAGATTATGCAATAATCAGGTGAGGTGAGAAAATGTCTTCAATAAAGAAAATTTGGTCAGTGATGTCAATCTTTAAATAGTCATACATTGGACATATGTCTTTGACAATTATTGTTTAGACTTGTTTGCTTTTATTGATTTTCATCACATTTTGCTCTTGTCTTTCAGCATATGGATGGATGTGATGCTGTTAATGGCTGTATGCAATGTCTAGCAGTGGAATATCCACGGATAAAATTCTGTGCAATTAAATCTACCGAGACACCAGTCAGTACAAACTTTGTAAGTGACATGAGTATAATGAATGCTTTGTTGCCTATTGATGCAGTTTTTGTACACCATATGTTTTACTTAACAAGCAACATGTGGAATAATACGTACTACATGTAGCCTTTATTACATCCTTAACCATGATAACAATTATATTGAATAGGATATATTTATTTTAAATACTACACTCACTCTTGTCTCATTCATTACCTTTTGAACCTTTACACCAGTTTTTAGTTTGAAATCATGTTTTGATGTTAAGAATGGATGCAGCTAATGCACTTTTGACATTGGAATTTAGTTTCTGAGTTGTATAGACTTCAGTTATTTGTATCTAGTTATTATTTCACAATGACTGCCCAACTCAGGTTTATAAGAAAGAAGCAAATTCATTGTATCTATTGAAACATGTTTTGGTACCTTTTTTTTTGGTATTTAATGGAAGCATTCTCTCATTTGTATACTTTCAAATTTAAATCTATCTGTAAATCAGTCATGAATCGGTATCAGGTGTGAAAACAATTTAAATATTACATTTCAAAATCAATTGGAACAAAGTGGGGTTATATTTTCATACATGATGATAAGGAATGCAGCAGAGGGAGAACTTCATTTGAATATAGGAAGTAAAAAGCAATATAATTCATTACTTTGTCAATTTATGTACAGAACTGTTAACAAATTTTGGTGCCACATTTGAAACAAATTTCTGTATTTTATCACAATTACTTTGTTTATATTGGAGGAAATAAGCATGATTTTCTATTGTGCCCCATGTCTTGATCAACATTTATCTGAAAAAAATATTGGAAAAATTTAGCTAGTTCCAAATGTTCACAAAACTGGACTTTTTGTATACATGTAGCTCTTAATTGCTTTTTTTCTCTTGTGTATAAAATTAAAATGACAGTGATGTGGTGAGCTGTCCCATGGTGCCCTGACTGAGCATTAAACCCTGTGGAGACTGTAAACACTGCAGTCACTGTTTGTTGTTAATATTCTCTCCCATGAGAAGGTTAAACCCAGTACGATATACAATACCTAATGCATTAATGGATGCCAGTTAAATTGCTATAATCACCTATATGAACTACTAATGGACTGAAAATATCATCGGAAGTCAGCAAGGAAATATGTTGAATAGGAAGTAGGAAACATCAAAAGATAAAGTCATTTTAAATGCAAACACAAATTCAATAGAGATGTCTTGACATGGGGCTAACCTGTCATCACCAAAGCATAAACAGGTTAAATTATTTGAAAATACTTTACTATAAGCTGGGCAAACAATTTAGATGCTATCCTTTATTTAAATATCAATTTGTCTCAATGGAATAACTAATTCTAAAAATTTAGATTAAAATAATGATATTTTTAATAGATAGCACTGTCTTGTTAATCGATCGACTGTCAATTTATACAAAGGCTGTATTGTATTATTTATAGAATAATTTTGTAAATTGACTTTCTTCATAAAAGAAAATCCATATTTATTATCGATGCCTGTCTAACCCTTGGAAGAAGTGCTCAATGCAAGATTGAAGAGTGTTTCAAGTCGTTTTTTATAAATGCTTTATCAAATAAAATCCAGTTTGTATCATACGTCTACTCATAGTTACACTTCCATTTAGGTTTTATAATATTTCTTCCATTGTAAACTTAATTTAATTACCGTGAAAAATAAGGAGACACAAAGAAGCGCGTACTACTACTTCAGAATTTCTCTGTATATATTTGTTAATTTATTGACACCTGCCATGAAATTTGAAGCTCATGCAAAAGGATATTTCAGCTATGATTATTAAATACTTTAATATACTTTGCAAATATGTGAGCTACCATCCATTACCCAGTATACACCATCAGGTATTGAGATTGTGGACAGTTTAATAATGGAAAAATTAACTGCAGAATATGAGTGTCATTCTTAAATTAGGCTAGATTTGCAAACAGTATACACTCTCAGAGCTAGGAGGTGTCGGATCTTGAAGGTCAGTACCTTGTATGTATAATTTTGTATAAGGAATAAGACCCTCCAGTTTCCTAAAAATTAAATAAAAAGTGAGGCTAGGATATCTACTTGTAATGTATCATATAACAGCCTCAGTTTATGTTGTTTATATCTTTTTCTTGGAGTGATATTTCACATATTCGCAAAGTGGGATTGTAACTTTAATTGAGCCAAAAAATTAATATTTAACAAATCTTTGCTTTCAGGTTTATTTTAATGTGTATTTTAGGATTATCATAATTCATTATAATTATGAATATCTCCTTTTTTTATGCAAATATTTGAATCTGTTCAGTGGTTTAGCATTATGAGATGGCTGGCATCACCTCACTTTGTGTAATATTATGTGTATATGTCTCTGGAATTGTTGTTCCATCAACTGTATTATGTATTAGTTCTTATTAAGTGCATGTCATATTCCTAATACAATGTTGATGATGTGGAGATGTGGACCTGGTTACCATGAAAACAGGAATTTCAGGAATGATTTTTCGAAAGGTTCTTTATGGATTCTTATGAAATATTCAGAAAGAGTTTTCCTTGACATGAGCAGCTATTGATTAGCTTTCAGTACAGATGTTAACATGATTGCCATGGTTTTTTAAGTCTTTTTTTTTTTTTTAATTTACATACCAAAAACTTGTGGATGGATTCTCATTACATTTTCAGTGGGAGTTGCCATTGTTATACACCAATCATTTTGAGATTGGGATGTGAATTGATGCTTTCATACATGTAGATCTGGTTGCCAGGGAAACAGCAATTTCGGCAATGAATAAATAATTATAAAGTTATAGGATGGATTCTTATTCTTACATATTCAGGAGGAGTACCATTTAGTAAGAGGTTGGTTGAGATATTGGTCTTGTTATCATGGAAACAAAAATGTTTTCATTGACTATTCATTAACTATTGACAAACATTTTTTGTGTAGGATTTGTATGATAAATGTATAAAATAGGATAAAGATATTAGTGAGTATTATGTAATTTGCATCTATAGCAAAGGTTTGCGATCTCGGAGGACCTTCTAGTTATATGTGCTTCATTATCATTACAGTCTGAATATGGACTTCCAGCGCTATTGGTGTACAAAAGCGGTGGACTCATTGGTAACTTTGTCAGAATCACAAACCAACTTGGGGATGACTTTTTCGCTGGTGATTTAGAAAACTTCCTACAAGAGTAAGTAAAACTCTAAATATTATTTTGATCGTACACTTTATACTGCCCTAGTAAGTGCAATTCATTAAATGGTGAAGTAATTGTACTGTTTCAATCAGTTGATTGTGAATGGCTCTCGGGCTATATCCTCTTTCAGGTAGCATTTTAACGGATACTCTTCACCATCTATTTCGACAATCCCATCTGCAGTGCAAATGCTTTCTAATAAAGTTTGTGAATACCTAGCGGCACTTTTCATAGAATTGATCTAATCAGATCAGTAAGGAGTTGATGGATGTGAGAAAGTATGATCAGATGTATTCAATGTTATTGTGTGTCTCATACTGTCTCTTAGCATTTCCTCTCCGATTTAACAATGTTAAAAGTGCTTTGATGTTGATTAGCAATTTGAAGGATATTTGTATGTGTGTTGACATCTGCACTTTTCCTCCTTAAAATGAAACACTGTCTTTTCAGTGATTGTATGCTAATATACAATGTATGCATTTATGATAATGTATATTTTAAGAACATTTCTATACAAATTGTGTTATAGTCACCTGCCTTGTTCTGATATATGCATGAGTTATTTCATTCTGGTAGCGATATCACTCAGTCTTAACAGCATTTTCATTAGTACATGTCTAACCCACCTGCCTCTATCCATTTAAAGCTAACTTACAGCAGCAGTGCCTGCAGACATCCTATTGTACAAATTCTAAAGTTTCCATACTTAACATTCTACTGAAGTAGTAGAACGATCTGCAACTGAGCCGTGCTGTGTTTTGTTCATCAACCTTTCAATCTATGTTATGAAACATTGTTAACTGGATCTGTCAAGCTATTATTAGTTCCTATTTTCAGTGTTGTAAATTTCCAGAAAATGTTGCGTATTTGAGTCTGAATAATTATTTTTAAGTTACTATTGTGTACAAATACACTGTTCAGTTCTCTACTACTTGTCTACATATGTCTATATTATATGGGAAAACTCAGCTTATAAATCTGATCCACTACGAATAGTTTGTAGCAACTCCCTGACCTCTTGAACTGTGCACTGAGCAAATCAACTTTTGTAGTCATAAATTGCTTATCAGATCTCTTGAACCAGGGACACAGAGCACAGGAAGCAAGCAGTTGCAGCTCTACCGAAATTTTAATATGACTCTACTAATGGTCTAATGTCAGGCAAAATTGTTTCAGTTTACTTTGAAAAACATAGACAGTGTAATAAGGAGTGCTGCATGCCATAATAAGATCTATGGAAAGGTGTTATGCCTTCTTACTGACAGAAAAGTACATGTAGATCAGGTGGAAAGTCCATGACTGCTTATTTGCTTTAGCAATATAATAGTAGTACTAGTATTTGTGGTAAGCAGCGTGAGTCAACCTGTGTTGAACCTAAGTAAGTTGAATTTTATGATAATACTTGTGATAATATACTGACTTTCAGATTTTAATGATACCACCACAAGTGGAGCTTCCAGTACTGATAATTGATTGCATCCCCTTTAGGATCCTTGTGATCCCCTGCTGCCATCCTTGACACTGCATCCTGATAACTGATAGATAGTCAGCAGCTGGTGTGAAAGCAAACTGATAAAGCAATACAATTTGCCACAAATGCTAGATACCACCTAGATTAGTTTTATGAATACTTCTTTATTATGTTGTGGAGTATGCATCATTCTACCAGTGCAGTATCCATGCTTATATGCATTAATAGTACTAAGCACTATGAATGAAGGAGATGGTGTGCAATGTTAGATCCATATGGTTGGATTTTAATACAAGCTAACAATGCAAACTGCTCAGCATATGAGGCGATATGAGAAATAATGTATTACACCTACAGCTACATGTATTTGTAAGTGTACACTAGAAATGGAAATCAAGTTTCACAAGTCCCGTGGGTACATTTATATACTTTAAATTACAATGTAACCTTCTCAAATATATGGTCTTTGTCACTAAACCTTTTGATGCCTTCCACTTCTGAATCAATATGCATTCATACGAAGCTTCAGGATTTACCTGCTTCATGGTTTTCCTGCTTGTAGATCATTTACACATGTATATATGGCTTCCTAGTTATTAACAATACCACTGAAGATTAAGATGAAGAAAGAGGATTCATTATATGGCTTTCCAGTTATCAAAAATACAGCTTAACGTTGGGTGGGGGGCATTTTCTGATGATTCATGAGAAATATTTTAGAAATATATTAGATTTTATTTTTTGCCATGAGAAATCATCAATTTATGCAGTGCGTCAATACAGTATGCACACCCCATAACAATCGTGCACTGTTGGATCGGAAGTGATGAAATGCATATATCTGTTATTAAAAAATGAAATTGCAGAAACTGTGATATCACAATTTATTATAAGGAAACCTGTTTGGCAATCTCATATCTTGAACTAAATTTCATTAAAAGCTGTTTGGACATGATTTAATCAAGGTAGGTTAGCGATGAATATGAACTGATTAAAAAGTAATAAATATGTAAATGAGTTAATAATTTACATAGTTATTGATGAATTTCATGTTACACATAAATAATATTTATCTGGTATAATTTGATATGCTTTACAATATTTAAAATAAACATTAATTCTCATTATGAATGCTATTGACAGTACATAATAACCTCTGCTTTTATCATTATGGCTTATTTTACTGTGGAATTTTCATTGAAAAAAGAATTGATTGAAAATATTAATGTCTCCAGTAAATCAGTAATTGAAGCATAAGTGGGGCTGCTGACAACGATATATACTATACAAATCTGGTAATACAAATACTACTATACAATCTGGTAATAAGTGTTACAAAGTGATTCCTACTTTGATAGGCTGTGATCTCTAACCATGTGAACACAGGCTGTGAACCCAAGCCAATAACACTGGTTGTGATCTCAACCAAGCATACAGGATGTGATGTTGAACCAAGCACACAGGCTGTGATATCGAACCAAGCACACACAGGCTTTTATCTTGAACCAAACACAGAGGCTGTGATCTCAAACCAAACACACGTGCTGTGATCTCAAACCAAACACACGTGCTGTGATCTCAAACCAAACACACATGCTGTGATCTCAAACCAAACACATAGGCTGTGATATCGAACCAAGCACACACAGGCTTTTATCTTGAACCAAACACAGAGGCTGTGATTTCGAACTGAGCATACTGGCTATGATCTCTAATGAAGCAAACAGGCTGTCATTTTGAACCAAGCACACAGGTGTGATATTGAACCAAGCACACTGGCTGTGATCTTGAACCAAGCACACTGGCTGTGATCTTAAACCAAGCACACATGTTGTGATCTTGAACCAAGCACACTGGCTGTGATCTCAAACCAAGCATAAAGGTTTTGATCTTAAAGCAAGCAAACTGGCTGTGATCTCAACCAAGCACACTGGCTGTGATATCAACCAAGCACACATGTGATTTTGGACCAAGTGAACACATGCTGTGATCTCAAATCAAGTTTCGAACCAAGTCTTAAAACAAACACACTGGCAGTGGTCTTGAACCAAGCACACAGACTGTGATCTCGAAGCAAACACACATACTGTGATCTCGAAGCAAACACACAGACTGTGATCTCGAAGCAAACACACAGACTGTGATCTCGAACCAAACACATAGGCTGTGATCTCAAACCAAACACATAGGCTGTGATCTCAAACCAAACACACAGGCTGTGATCTCAAACCAAACACACAGGCTGTGATCTCAAACCAAGTGCACAGACTGTGATCTCAAACCAAACACAAAGACTGTGATCTCAAACCAAACGCACAGGCTGTGATCTCAAACCAAATACACAGGCTGTGATCTCAAACCAAACACACAGGCTGTGATCTCAAACCAAACACACAGGCTATGATCTCAAACCAAGTGCACAGACTGTGATCTCAAACCAAACACAAAGACTGTGATCTCAAACCAAACGCACAGGCTGTGATCTCAAACCAAGTGAACAGACTGATCTCAACCTAAACACACAGGCTGTGATCTCAATTCAAGCACACAAGCTGTGATCTCAACCAAGCAGACTGGCTGTGATCTCAACCAAGCACACTGGCTGTGATATCAACCAAGCACAAATGTGATTTTAAACCAAGTGAACACAGGTTGTGATCTCATATCAAGTTTCGAACCAAGTCTTGAAACAAACACACTGGCTTTGATCTTGACCCAAGCACACAGGCTAAGGTCTCAAACCAAGCGCACAAACTGTGATCTCCAGTACACTTTTATCTTGAACTAAATGCAGGCTATGATCTTAACCATCTTGTAAAAAAGAAATAGAATACTGTGACTGATTTAGCATTATATCCATGGTTATTGCACAGAAGTCCATGTAAAATGGATTGCACGGTAACTGACTCTACTGCTCCACGTTTTCCTCATAATGCTATCTTGTCACACTTATACCCTATTGTGCATGTATCATAGAGTTCTTCCCTATAATGCTCTGATGATGTAGTATGCATGTCCCGTCCCCACCAGTGAAATATTAATTTAAAATCAGTGTTCATTTTCCAACACTTCCAACAATGAAATTATAAGGGTCCTTTGAGAGACAGACTATTCGTATATAAACCATTGGACAGGTGTTCTTTTTATCCGCAAGCATTTATTTCATGTGTTACATTCCTGTCAACTGTAATGAAAAACAGACTAGTGTAACTGCTGATAAAATCTATTTATGTTAGACACTGATAGTTGTACTTTCAAAATGATTAATTATTCATTTTATAACATTTAAAAAAAATACAATGCATGACTTTCATTAAGTTTGTTTTTTGAAGAATTTCAAATAAAACATACCTGGAAATGGGCACAGGCACATACAGTTACGTGATCAGTCAGTCATTTATGTACAGTTTTCCTGTTAAGAAATCGGCTTGGACATGTTCGCACAATAGTTGCAGACATGTTCAAATACTGGGTTTAAGGTAATACATGTACTAAGCCATCAGCGTTATTCAACTGATTTGTATATTGTCAATCAAGGTATGTCATGAAAATAGGTAGGACCACTTAAAGCAATCGTATGTCCACTTCTCATTGATGTGTATATATCAAATTATAAAAAATGATTTTCATAGCAAGTTGAATTATCTTAGTAGCCTACTATATGTAATGTTAATACAATTTTGAATATTTAAATCAGCTTTTGTATGTCTGACAAGCAGTTGCTGACATATATGTATGTTTGTGCATTTTGAAGGATGAAAATGGACACCATATTCATATATATGTCTTATCTACATTGTATGTATTAATTCGAACAATATAACTTCAATCGTGTTCAGAAAATTAGATGGGTGCATGGCAACCAGATGCCTCAACCCCAAGACAATAACCAAACACATAAATTAACACATACTAATTTGATGCACTTTATTGCAAGGATACTTTTTCCACGAGGTGCACGTACTTGTACTGGTCACAGATGCCTTTATATTCAATACTGACTACTTTCTTGACCCTTAGTAACCAAATCTACTGAAAGTACTCTTCACCCAAGATGTAGTTGCCTTCATTTCCAACACTGACTAACATCTTGACCCAAGGTAGTGACTAGATGAACTGAAAGTAGTCTTCAACCAGGATGCAGATTCCTTCATATCAAACACTGTAATTCAAACCAAGATTGTAACTAAACTTACTAAAGACAAAAAGTGATCTTCACCTAGGGTGCAGATGCCTTCATATCAAACACTAACTACCATCTCGATCCCAATTAATAACTAGATGAACTGAAAGTAGTCTCCAACCAGTTTGCTGATGCCTTCATTTCCGACACTGACTACCATTTTGATCCAAGTTAATAATTAGATGAACTGAAAGTAGGCTCAAACCAGGATGCAGATGCCTTCATTTCAAACACTAACTACCATCTCGATCCCAATTAATAACTAGATGAACTGAAAGTAGTCTCCAACCAGTTTGCTGATGCCTTCATTTCCGACACTGACTACCATTTTGATCCAAGTTAATAATTAGATGAACTGAAAGTAGGCTCAAACCAGGATGCAGATGCCTTCATTTCAAACAATAACTACCATCTCGACCCCAATTAATAACTAGATGAACTGAAAGAGTCTCCAACCAGTTTGCTGATGCCTTCATTTCCGACACTGACTACCATTTTGATCCAAGTAAATAATTAGATGAACTGAAAGTAGGCTCCAACCAGGATGCAGATGCCTTCATTTCCATCACTGACTACCATTTTGACCCAAGTTAATAACTAGACAAACTGAAAGTATTCTTCAACCAGGTTGCTGATGCCTGTATTTCCGACATTGACTACCATCTCCACCCCAGTTAATAACTAGATGAACTGAAAGTAGTCTCCAATCAGGTTGCAGATGCATTCAATTCCGACATTGACTACCATCTCGACCCCAGTTAATAACTAGATGAACTGAAAGTAGTCTCCAACCAGGTTGCAGATGCCCTCATTTCCGACATTGACTACCATCTCGACTCCAGTTAAAAACTAGATGAACTGAAAGTAGTTCCAGTCAGGATGCAGATGCCTTCATTTCCATCACTGACTACTTTCTTGACCCAAGATAGTAACTATATGAACTGAAAGTAGTCTTCAACCAGGTTGCAGATGCCTTCATTTTCATCACTGACTTACCATTTTGACCCAAATTAATAACTAGATGAACTGAAAGTAGGCTTCATCCAGGTTGCTGATGCCTTCATTTTCATCACTGACTACCATTTTGACCCAAATTAATAACTAGATGAACTGGAAGTAGTCTCCAACCAAGTTGCGGATGCGTCCATTTCCGACACTGACTACCTTTTTGACCCAAGTTAATAATTAGATGAACTGAAAGTAGGCTCAAACCAGGATGCAGATGCCTTCATTTCAAACACTAACTACCATCTCGACCCCAATTAATAACTAGATGAACTGAAAGTATTCTCCAACCAGGTTGCTGATGCCTTCATTTCCGACACTGACTACCTTCTTGACTCAAGATAGTAGCTATATGAATTGAAAGTAGTCTTCAACCAGGATGATGATTCCTTTATATCAAATACTGACTACCATCTTGAAGTCTGTAACTGAACAGACTGAGGACAGAAAGTGGTCTTCACCTAGGGTGCAGATGCCTTTATATCAAACACATGGATTGAAAGTGATGAATTGAGTATAGTCTTCACCCAGATGTAAATCAATTTTATGTGCACACCGTGAATTACTTTATGGGCTTTAATATTCATTTGGTTCTTAAAAGAGTATATTAAAAGCAAGGTTATCATAGTTGAACTGTACATAAAATGTATTTCGTGATATTTAGCAGAAAATACTATTTCTAAGAGCTGTTATCTACTGAACAAAATGTGACAAATGTATGTAATTGTACTACTAATCATGTCTGCTAATTGCAATGTAAATATAATATTGCATGACACTAACATATTGCATAAACAAATTGTATTCATTTATTTCATAATTTCATTTTATGTTATAGTAATGTTGTGTTGTGTTTGCTTGCATAAATCTTTGTTGTATTGTTTCTTTCTGAACTGTATAGGTATGATGTTATTTCTATTTGTATAGTCGACTATTCGTTATTTAGTGTATAATTGTAGTGGATGATAAGAAAAATAAGGTGGTGATCTAAGTAATTATCTTTCTTTAATCTTGGTGTATCATGCTGCAATGCACTGTTTTGATTGTTTAAACAATAAATTCATGATTAATTCCAATTACTAATTACAATTAGAATGAAAATTAGGTAAAAGACACCAGATGTTGCTAAGTGTATATATGTTTATACAATTTCATGTCAATAAAAGGCATGATTGACTTGCGTGTCTAGATAACTTGGTTGTCCTTTTCATCTCTTCAATTTTCTCTTTAAACATTCTTGCAGACATGGTATATTGACTAGAAAAGATGAACAGCTGCCAGCAGTTATCCGTGGCTCCACTAACACTGAGGATAATGACAGTGATTTGGATCTGGACTGAAATAAATAGGAAGTAAAGTGTAAAACGGAAACTGTACTGTAGGAAATGACTGAATATATAAGATGCATACTAAAGTGTGTTGTGGCACACTTTTACTGGGATTTATAAAGCTGCAAAATGTGATTGTATTTTTGTTATAAGTGGGAATCAATGGTCATTCCTGTCTTCAAGCTGATAATAGGATTGCGCGTTACAAAGGAGGAAAAGGAGAGTTCGATGTACGTAGTCTGTATGTTGATAACTAAGCTGAAGTCACAAGGAAGTGAATGCCAGAAGAAAAACAATTTATCATGTTGTGGCAGTTTTTTCTATCACACTTACAAAAAGATCAACTAACAGCACCATCAATATTGCAAATCCATTGAGTCTTCACATTTTAAGTCTAAGAGGCCCACTTTAATTTGTTTACAGACTTCTGCAGTTCGGCCTATGACGAATGGTCATACCTCAGCAGGTTTGAAGAACGTTGGCAGGTACGCTATCACCAGTAGTGTGTGTCATATCATTCATTTTAATGCCAGCATCTTACTCAGCACAGCTGGCATAATAAGGTAGTCTGGAATGAAATGATACCTTTATTTTTACAAATAGGTTAATTATGTTCAGTCAGTCATGATTAAGAACATGGCAGCAGTCCTTTCGACTAGACCAATTAAGCTGCTAATAAAATGTTCTTATGATGAGATTGTGCTTTATTAAACAAAATGGGTACATTAAGATATTGCTACATGTAGTGTCTATATTGTTGCATGCAAATTAATTTTAAGTGGCATAGAACTACATCGTGCACATGACCTTTTTACTTTAAGTAATTGTATTGTCTGTCTGTAATAACGTCAATATATAGTGTGCATAGTATTATGTTTCAGATTGAATAGTCTTCATACTTTACCAGTCATTGTGAATTTAGTAAACAACGTCTTTGTAGTGTTTTAAATGTGTAATTAGATTGGCAAATAAATTTAGAATGTGTTTTACAAAACTACCCTTAAAATAGTTTGTAATTACAATTTCGTGTTCTAGTACAACTGTTCTATGAAAGGGGAAATGTTAAGATTTTTTTTGCGAAAAAACCTTAATATCTGTTAGCTTGGTCACCAAGTTGCCCGTAATGTTTACTATATTATTTATTTTGTTTAAAAATGACATCTGGTCATTTTCTCATGGGTACTCAGAATTGGATGGGTGCATGGTGTGTTGAACAACATGTGCTGTAGTGCCTCTCAAAAGTGGATATTCATGATCAAATCAAGAAATATCTGTTTAGTGTGTGTGTGAAACCTAAATGATTATATCTTTCATTTGTATGCATGTATATTACAAGGTATTACATGGCTGTATGTAACAACAAATTATTTGTTGCAAATTGTATCCATCACTTGCATACTGTCACTATCAATCACATCGATTTTATCATGAAGCCAAAATAAGTCTATTGTTTTGAACTTTAATTCACATATTATAGCCATTAGGTCACAGAACTGGTGTTCCACTTTCAGTCATGCAAATATACTACATTTCAAGGTGCAAAAACAGATCATGTGCACCCCTTTCAGAATACTCGTACATGGTACTGCCAATCATTTGGGACAACATCAATGCTCATGTTTCACTAATAGTTACGACACTAAGGGGAAACTCTCGTTATCAATGACACTGATAGTTCTATGCTTGTCAGGAATGGACTCCACTATTGCTTTCTCTGCTTGTGGACCATTGACAAGCAATGCTCCATTTTCACTTCTATTTTCAGATAGGAACTTGTTTTTTCAGATGGAGTCAGAGAACATGCTCGCATCTCTGTCAGAGCTTCGTGGTGTATTAATAAACATGATATATGCAGAACAAGGCACATTCTGTCCATCCTTCTATATCACAGTTACTAGGTTATTTCTACTATGTATTAAATAAGTAATGAACATTGTATGAAGGTTTAGTGTAGGTTTTTATTATGAAATCCTGGGCTATCATACTACCGGTATTTGTCACCCTACCATGGTCTTTATCATTAGTACTCGCGTCAATCATACTTACACCATACAAACTGCAAAACGGCAGCATCCCCAATCCCTATAGAGATGATTGTCTTGCTCACCTTGGCATGATATGCAGCCAATTGTAATTCATATTTGTTGTTGACAAGTTGACCGAGTTCCAGGTGAGTGCAGTGAGGTCGAATAAAGCTACCCTTATTCACATCCCAGAGATGATACCAATTGCTGATTGCAGGTACTAGTTACAGTCCCTGTGTCCTGTCTGTACTTTTCGCAATTAACACTAGCAAACACTCGAGGGGCCCAAAACCACAAATGTCCATTTGTCATGCAGATGATTAATTGCAAAGAAGTCATCATTAACCACATACATGGCAGCAGACTGTTCTTCTGAAACTAGGGCCATTACATCAATACCAGTGCGACCATGGTTGTTCCTCACCTGTCGATCTGCAGTGAGAGGAGAAATATTTCTAGAGACATCAGCCAATCTCTCAGCTGCCTAGTTTCTTCTCACCGAGTGCCTCCCTTTATTATGATGGCCGCCTATTTCTTCAACGTTTCAATCTATCACCTCCCTAGGTAGCTTGTCTGGTTCCATGCAGCATACAAACCATTGTAGTCACCTTTTTCTGCAAATGACAGTGGCTGTTGAGGTAATTGGGAAAGATGTTTATTTCCTAAATATTCTTGGCTAAAGACCCCATTGCAGAAAATGCCGACATTCAGAGGCTGGGATCTATTGTGGTGGGAGGGATAATCTCAAACTCATCTCACTCGACATTATTGGATTTATCAGCTGTTGTTTTTGATGTATAAGATTTACCACTAGAGTTGTTCATTTCTTGATTTTTTAAGAAGCTAATTATCAATCCGTTTTACTATCTATTATGATTCATCTTTTGTCCGTAACAAGACATACTTGTAGTGTGGAAAACAGCATACAACTCGTACCACCCAAATGATTTATACATGTTTTGCGTGTTCATGAGGAACCCTGAGGTAACTATTAGAGCATACTACATTATTATTCTATACTTGCACAGCTGTATGTGTTATAGTGTTATCGTGTGTGTATTCATTTTGTACGTTATACTCAACCCATTTTTTTGGATAACTCTATTAAAAACCTTCAGTATGTTATGGGAATAACAGACTATTAAAGACTGCCATGAAATAGTATATACCGACCCAGGTTCGCCCATCTTTTATGTCAGATTATGGCGTTGACCACGGACGATAAGAGGACTGATTGTTTATTCCAGAAGCCACCTAGCCCAATCTGGTTGGTCGAGGGTACTGCATTTGGGCATTATCGGGCTAAACATTCTCAGACCTACTTACTAGACTATTATAATAACTTTGCTAGTGTGTGAACCAGTTTTTATCCTGCTATGTGCATATAAAAGCACCCTCAACTAAATTATCATACACATCCAGGTTTGACAGTGTTACTCTCTTTCTGAAAAAAAAGTCATCCTTACACTTCTTGACATTTATTGAGGGAGAATCTGTTTGCCTCATAGTTTACAAAATGAATATGACGACTAAATATCGTTGTCAGACTTTATTCATTACATGCAATATATGTATCGATGTTTGCAAAGTGTTTCTCTGACATAATACTGCTGAATTGGCACAGAAGTAATGGAGTGCACATCTGCAGACCCGATTACATTATACGGAGAACTACGTAGGCGGAGTTTATGACATTTAAAAAACATTACGGACCAAATAAATCACACCACAATGTGTTTCTCTCACATTGTATCTTGCGTTCTCTAGTAAATGGTGCGACGCAAAATGCTCCCAATGCGCAGTTTTATCTTTAGCAAATTAGTTGGTAATATTAATGATTTTGTGTACCATTCATTATTGCGAAGTAAACGTTACTACTTTTCTGTTAGAACCAATCTTTTTGTTCCCATTGTTTGAAATCATCACATATTAGTGTCAAAGAGTGTAAAATATTTTATAACTTGTTTGTGGGTGGAAGTATGATGGAATGTGAGGGGAAAACCAGGTCTTATCACTCAAGATTAGGGATACAACACTCATCATAGGAGAATGAGACGGGAATTGTCAATGGAAAACATTCTCATTGTTTGGGGCTCTGGTCGGCTATGCGATTCTGGTCAGTTATGTCGAACAATCTGCAATTCGAGTCTGTTTGTTGGCCATCCGCAATTCACATGGGTTCTGTGAAAATCACCCACCATGGCGGTAGTACTGTGAAATAAACATTACTAATACATCATATTTGGGGGAATTAAACAATAAAACTAGTGACTTTTGTTGCAGTGTTTAATAAACGTACTGGAGGAATACGATAAAATAGTATGCTTCAAAGCATACAGTAATACAGTAGATAGGCAGCAGATATAATGTGCATGAAGAATAAATCTATGTGAGGAAAATATATGGAAAAGTCACACTGCAGTGTTACAGCACTCGAACATCGCATATTCTAATTTCCGGGTACTATAACAATTAGAAACTATTCGTTTCACTCAGAAAGAATCAAACTCCCTGTAGTAAATGTAACGTAATATAATTATCTGTACACTTTAAGTAAGAAGTAATAATTTGTGTAACTATGTGGCTTGTCAGAAGGAATCACATACCCTCTCAATAGTGGGATATTTAGTGAGTACTATATATGTGATGTAAGATTCGACATCGCTAAGGTTATAACAAACTGTAGCACCCTTCATATCCATGACGTATTTTTGTACAAAGTGGATCTCTACTTATCGGGGAATATATATCGGTTATCGTCAGCGAAAATGTCACTTTACGGAGTTAGACTATAATGCACTCTCTTGAGAGAGAGATAGTATGAAAGGCCAAACTCGCAATCATCTGACCAAATAAAGATAAATGTTAGTTTGCATAATCCTTCTGACTGTTTTAATTGGTTCCACTGCTTAAATTAATGAAGTCAAATACCCATGTATAAATATTTTTTTTACAATTGAAATAAGTTATTAGTGGGAATGATTTACG